ATATGACAGATCGATGTGCAGGTGCGGAATAAAGTTTCCCATTTTTTTGTAAAAAAAAAGGATGGTTTGAACACAAAGATGAGATACTTAAGACGGTATAATTTTATCAAAGAATTCTTTAGAAGGCGTATATTTAGGTCGTGTTGATCGATGGTGCCATTTTGAAGCAGTCCCATAATCCTGTTCGAATTCAATGCTTTTCAATATGATTAGAGCTTTCGTGTTAGCGCAAGCTGAAAGTAGGCCAGCTCACAATACATAAATGATACCCGTTACAGTGGTAGGTTTATAATTGGCCTCGTTTTTTATTTTGCTCAGTGTCACATTTTTTGTTACAGTTATTTATCTTGTTTCATGTGGTACTTGTATTTGGTTGGAAAGTCGTAAGGAGCAGCTTGTTTACATATAACGATTTAAACTGCACATAGGCATTACAGACAAAAAAAAACATTGAAAAATACTATCCGGTACTTTATTCCGCCATTTTATTTTTTAGCTGTTTTTTTATTAAAATAAATGAATTTGCTTGACGAACCTCGTAAGCGGATTTCACAAGTCAGAAATATCTGCGGGTATTGATAAAATGGATAAAATGTCTCACAATCAATGGGTCTATATACACCTATTTGTACCCATATATATATATATATATATATATATATATGCCGATGATCTTTACTTCGCACTGAAGTCTATGCAATCTGGTTCAAAACAGATTCTCAGCGCTGGGTTTGAATTTCTTTTGCGTTCAGTAGCTCGCCTGATATTTTATGTCATTACTGTGGCTTAGATCCTTCTTCTATGTACGGATTACAATCCAGTGATATTTTATTAATTTGCTCAAATGTCCATGTGTTTTGGGTTTTCGAGATCTTGAGTTCAATGTATAAGCCGATTAAATCGTTCGTTGTTGGCAAGTGCATTGTACGCAACTAAAATTTCTCGTTTCAAGCACTGCATTTTAGGATTTTCTTTAAACGCAAATCATCACTTGCATACCCAGCTAATTTTTATTTTATTAAGGTAGGAACATCCTGATAAATGTCAACTTCGTCATAATACAAGTAATAAGCTAATGCAGTGCATTTGCTTACTTGAACGTCAGAATGGGGAAGAAAAAGAAAATATTCGCAGACGAAATTAGCCGTTTCAACAATATGTTTTTACTCAGCGTTCGCTGCTATTTATGCTTACTTCATTTGCTTATGGACGTTGGAACAGGGCTAAAATCCTTAGCAAACATTGTTCCCGTACAAAATCAAGGCACCTCTGTGCAAAGCCTATGGCCACTTCGCAGAATAATTATCACCAAACTATAATAGTCGGTGGGATAGAAATACGAGATAACTATGAATCACAACGGCGGCACATGAAGTGTCGTTATTTAGAAAAGGTACTGACATCCTTAACTATAATAGATAACAATACGGACTTTTTAATCATAATCATCATCACTCGTCCTTTCGTTTTGCCTATCTCGTCAAATGGAATGCATACGATAGCTAATAATACGAACTCATGCGCGACTTGCATCGCGCAGATTTTCGTCATTTGAAAGTTCGGTACGCGGTCTAACACCTGCAGGCGCTATTTAATCATGTAAATAGGTTACACTTATTACGATCAAAAAATGAACCGAAGATTACTACACATCAGCGAATAAAGGTTTTCCACCATCGAAAACGCTCAATAATAGCTCTACCGTCGTCAAACCGTGATTTGAATTAAGTCATTGTTATTGAATTAAGGCATTCTCAATCAAAGACTCTATATCAAGTTTCAACAGCAAATCACGTACGACCTTAGGTGAAAATAAATAGTGGAACGCACTAATCATATTTAAATTTTACACTATACAGCCCGGTACACTGAACAGTTGCCCACGACATACTGTTGCGCGCCAATCAGAAATAATATCTTTTGTTTTCTTGCTCGTTCTGACATTTCAGATAGAAGCACGATAGCATGAGAGCGCAAACTTTTTTGAAAAAATAAGGGGATGCATGTCTCAACGAGGTGAGTGTGCTGGACTAAAGCAATTTCGCTTTAATCAGTGTCACATAGTAGTTCTTATGGTATGAACGTATTTGATAACGAATTGCCTTTAGCTTGTTGGTATGCTAAACCACCTAACAGCGGAAGCTCGCTAGCAGTTTTTATCCGACCTGCTGTTACCGATCGGTCGTTTCTGTGCGCCTTATCTTAACAACCTTACGCCAATACTTGGCTTATTTCTCATATCAGATGCAGGTTTGTGTCAAGCCGGTGCATATCTCAACCTTCTGATCCGACATCTGTCTCCAAGAGAACTGGTCAAGTCCCGTCGATTTTGACCTGACATATCGCGCCGTTTCAGACCAAATAAGCTGCACTCAACAGTCAGAAGCATCGTTTATCATATGAGAAAAAGAATAATGATTATTATTGCTATAATATAATGTAAAAATATAC